AAGGTCAGATGGGACCATCAGTTTGGGTCTGGAGAATGGTAGAGCCACTATTCTTGATCTCTGCTTTAGCACTGCTCATAGCAGAAATGTGATCCACCAAGATCTGAGTGCTGGTTGCTGTAAGCCCCACCCTTGCTTAAGTTTCTAGCAGTCATCTAATAGCAATGAATCACTTAGCTTTTGCCTATAGAATGCTGGGGGAAATGGAGATGTAAAAGGGATTACAACCATTGCATCATTAAATCTTTGCAAGTGGTTCTAATCTCTGCCATTTCCTCTTTCCTCAGGAATATAAAATTGCTTTCAACTTACTATTTTTGCCATGAGAAACTTTAGTTTCAAAGCCTTCTGGTTGGCCTTTCCTAAGACAGTCATTGGTGTTTCATAAATTAAGGGACGGTAGGTTAAAGAACCAGTTTGGCCAACTGCTATGAATGTCCTGATTATACATTCAGGAACTTGGGAAATGACTGGTAGGTGGCTCCGTGTATTGAGTGGGCTCACTGTTAGATGGACATTACCTTACCTTCAGAGACTCTTTTTTAACAGGGGCCATGATGGTGATTCGGATTCCCAGATGTTAACATCTCAGGTGCCGTAACAACAACCCTTAAAAGATGTGACTATTTTCTTTTGCTTTGTATACGGTTACTTGAATGAATGGCCATAGGTGAAGAACTCAGGGAATCACTGCTATGAACATTTGCAAGGTTTCTTATAAGATCTGTGCTCATTTCCATCAGCAGGTTCAGGGTCTAAGAATTGACTCAGATATGGAAACTCGGCATGGCATCTGGACTTTTTATTGGGGTAGCTGACCTCAGTCATCTGATCATCTCTTTTTAATCTATTTTGATGATATTATGAAACAACATCTTTATTGGCTGCCCTTCTGCCTTATTTGTAAGAACACCTGTCCTATCAACTATCTCCATAGACTTCTATGGGCCAGGCCCCACACTGTCATTCTGAGCTTGCTGCCCATTACAGAAACTGCTCCATCGTGCTCTGACAGTTAATGCTGCCACTTGCTTCTGTTATTCTGGAATCCTATCATCCCATTTGCTACTAGGACCCAGTTCTGTAAAACATTCCAAATTATTCCAAATCACAGGGGACAGCTCCCGCTGAGAATCTCCAGATACTTGTGGCCCCTCAGCAGTGTGCTCCTTATTGCCTTGTTCAGTTAGTGTCTCAGGCCTCCTGAGGACACAGGCACCTGAGGAATGGGTGTTCCAGTTGGAGAGAGTAGAGCTATGCCAACTTCCCTAGGAAGAACTTTGGATCCCCTTTTCCATAGTCTGCCCTGGCAGGTCTGGTACCTCTACCTCCACTACATCTAGTGTGCACCGTGCTTCATAGCAAGCCTCTAAGAACCACCCAAGAGTATATTAGAATCATCCCCTTGGCCCTTGCCAGGCTAACCTCTGTGCCACAGAACAGTTCTCCTGCACTGATAATTCTCTCTAACCCATTGCATTTTTCTTCATTCATCATCCAGGATCTACTCCCAGACACAACCTCCTGGCACCTACTAGTACACGTTGGTCAGCTGCATTGGTGTAGAAGCCGTCTCCTCACCTAGCAGCCCTAGCCAGGACTTGCCCATTTGGTCACGCTGTGAGGACTCTGCATAGTCTTCATTCAAGCAAGATGTGGAGGGGAGTAGTTGTTTTCTAATAAGGAGCAGGGGGTGCTTTTGCAGGCCAGTGGGTTCAGAGGGATCTGGTGTTCAGAGTTCTCAGGTGCATCTACCTAGAAAGCCCCATTCTGAGTTTCAGGGCTTCACGCCTTCTTTATCAGGGACCTGACTTTGGAATACGAGGCCCCCTGAGCTTAGAATTCAGTCTTCCCTGAAGTTCTGCCATTCTTAAAATTAAGGCCTGTGCCAGGCCTTCCTTATTGTCTGCCTTCCAGCTGCAGATATGAGAGTCTCTTTGTTTTAGGTGGTGACTAATAAATTTCAGCCTGTTATTTACTCTTTTCAACACATTAGTGGCACTTGGCAGTAGACCCTAAATCCACAGTTCTTATAGTTATTATTTCTCCCTTTGTAAATGCTGGTGAATTGTACCAGCTAGTGTCCTCCTCCCCTGTATCTCTTCCAGTTTCCTACAAGTAAAAGTTTTGGCAATGGCAATGTTATAGCACCCCAGGAACATCAATATTCCATCTGTCACCATCTGGCTGGACAGTGATCCAAACCCAGAACCCTATACTTAGGTCCTGCTTGCTAGGACCATTATGTTAAGTTGGGTTCCCTAGAAGCAGAGCCTGATATGAAGTCTCTTAAGGAAGTGATTTATTGTGAGAGTTTAATTAGGAGAAATGGGGTGAAGAAAGCAGAATAACATTATGAGAAAAGCTAAGCAAGGACGTGGTTACAGCTGGAGACTTGCTCCAGCCTGATTCCAGCAGGAAGCATAGGAACATGAATTATACAACTCATTGGTTCCCCCTTGGGGTCTGGGGCTGGAACCCAGGCCAATGAGGCATAATATACAGGCGAAACAGGCTCCATTTGGCCCAATACAATACTCTGGGGAGTGGTGGCATCAGTAGCCAACCCTCACAGCAACTGTGGGATGAGCAGTCTGCCTTCAAAGGGGGTTTTCCAGGGTACCAACAGCATTCACTAAGAACTTTTCTCATTTGTTTCCCAAATAGCAAACACTTCTTTGAAATTCTTCTCGAATTCTTTCTCCAGTCTAATTTTCATTAGGACAAAGTCACTGCACTGAAAAAAAAAATAAAGACAAAAATAATGTCAATCATTATCAGTGTCTTTAGACACCTTGCAATTGAGAATGATCAGAACTTCTGCTGTTAACACCTAAATTACATTAACCAGGTTAAAATTAAAAACTCGTGTGGCTAAGAGTAACAACTATGTCCTAGGTGCATGATTATTTATTATTAACTAGACAGAAATGGTAGAATTATTACTGTACTTAGGGACTCTTACTTTTTGCTTTGGGTTGTTTAATTGAGTAAGAAGAGTGATCCAAGGTCTTTGTAACAATCAATAGCACAGGGTGTCTAAGTCTAACCAGTGATCTTCCTTTTGGGATGTCACTTCTATTCCCCTCTGGTGAGCCCTGTTAAGTATATGATTCATTCACATGCAAAGAAATTGGAGTTTGGGATTTCTGAGAAGTTTGAATGAGTATATCAGGGGAGAGATAAGAAGCACAATACGACTTAGGATATAATTCTCGTCTCCCTGTGTTTGGAGCAGGAAGGAAGCTGCTGTTCTCAATTGGTACCTCTGGCCTTTGAGAGTGAAATGTGCTCTCGGTGCCCTGGGGTTCTGGTTGCAGGGACACCTCCTGATTCACTGTTACTCTCCATCCTGATTTCAAAAAGTCGATCACATTCAGAACCCTTGCTTGTGTACGCTTGTGATAGGATGAGAGAAACCGTAAAATCTCCCAGCACCAGTGGAAAGTGAAGGAAATGGGAGCGGGAAGAGACACTCACTTTGTAAGATGCCCTGTGGCTCCGAAAGATGAGGCGCATGTCCCGCACAAACATCCCCACTTTGAAGTAACTTCGCTTATTTAGCTTTTTCTTGATATCGTTCAATATCATAAGTTCCCCCACGCACTGAGAAGTCTCTTTTCTCTGGTGAAAAAAAAATATCAGTGGTAAAATTTCTGCAGTCTATGTCTGCTGTCTGTGTATCCCTGAAAAATTCAGCAGAAATACAACAAGGTAAACATGACAAAACTCTGACTCTCACGCCCATGGGCTTCGCAAATCCCACAAGTGCCGTGTCAAGGCTAAGAAGCATCGTGGCTGCCTATATCATGGTGTGTTGTCATTACTCACATAATTATCATGTGGAATCTTCTCAAAAACGTTCATCACTGAATGGCAATAGACATTCACGAGGAGGAACTCACATTTCTACAAAAGAAAGAGGCTGTGAATGAGAAGCAGCTTGAAGAGAATGAGCCACATGTAGGCCCAGGCAGAAGCATGACCACACCAGTCTTCCAGAAGTTTCCCTAGACAGGTATGGCTCTAGGAAACAGTCCCATAATGGCTGGGTTATTATTATTATTATTTTTGCAAACAAGTTCTGGTGAGATTTCAGCGTGATTGAGACATGGCTTGGAAAAGCAGGCTCCCTTCAGTGCCTCCCCCTCACCCTGTGACTGACTTCTCACGTGTGCATGGAAAGGACAAGGCTTGGGGCTTGAATCTGACTCACCAACTGCTCCTCAGGCCCCATCTGCCTCGTCAGGACCTCAGATTCCCTGTGACACTTCTGACATCCTAAATATGGCTTCATCCTGCAGAAGATGCAACTCCACGGGCTCCTGAGAGGTTGGACATAAGTAAGCAAAGGCCAGGCCCCTGGAAACAGCCACTGTTCCTACAACCCCCACTTTTAAAAAAAAGAGTCAACTCCACGGGCTCCTGAGAGGTTGGACATAAGTAAGCAAAGGCCAGGCCCCTGGAAACAGCCACTGTTCCTACAACCACCACTGTTTTTCCTTTTGGGAATGGCCTGTGGACAAAGCCAGGGAATGAAGGGGACACTTCCCAGTCTCCAAGACCCAGATTGGGTCTGGGCCAATAACCCACTTCCCATTGAGGGTAGCGGCTGAGGATAAGTGGGTGGAGGGCGGTGTTGGGGTGAGCGATGGGCTCTCCTTTCTCCATTGGAACTCTGGGAGTGCGAGGACCCCTGTCTGCCAGGCCTCAGTGCCTGAAACTGGACCTTAACTCCTGGGACCTCGGGCTTCCATCAGCCAGTTGAGAACATGGCAAAATAAGAGAAACAGGTCAGGTTTCCTGCATTTTCTGAGTTAGCACAAACCACTGGCATTTCCACTCCCATGAACAGGAGTCTGTGCTAGAAAACTTCTAGGGAAGGGCAGGAGCAGCATGCAGGCAAAGGAGCCAGCCACTGGCCCCAGCTGCCCAGAGGACAGAGGAGAACACTACGCGTCTGCCGCTAGCATCTTTAAACGGCTCTCCAGATCGCACTGCTGGGGCCCTTACCACTGACCCTGCTCTTTCCACGTCAGGACACAAGTCGGAACTCTGCTGGGGGAGCATGCCTGAAGGTGGGGAGGATCCTTAATAAGGAGGGAGGGGCTGCATCTCACAAACCTCTTAGTTTCCACAGGTGGCAGGTGACAGTCCTCATGAAAGGATCTTGAACAAGTGTCGCAACAAAACAGCTTTCCTCCATCATGGCAGACCTCACATACATCTGAGTTTCTCTGCTAGAGGGTAAAACAATGTCTATATCACCAGTGAGACCTGAAGGCCAGCACTATGGGAATCAAGAACTCACAGCCTTAATCTTGAGAAAGAAGAACAAAGTTGGAGGCATCATACTACCTGATATCAAACTGTACTCCAAAGCTATAGTAATTAAAAGAGCATGGTACTGGCATAAAAACAGATACATTGATCAATGGAACAGAATAGAGAGCCCAGAAATAAATCCACACCTGTACGCTCACTTAATATATGACAAAGGAGGCAAGAATATACAGTGGGGTAAAGATAGTCTCTTCAATAAATGGTGTTGGGAAAATTGGACAGATACATGCAAAATAAAAGAAACTGGACCACCTTCTTACACCGTATACAAAAATAGACTCAAAATGGATTAAAGACTTAAATGTAAGACCTGAAACCTTAAAAATGCTAAAAGAAAACATAGGCAGTAAACTCTCTGATATTACTAAATGGTAATTTCTTTTCAGATATATCTCCCTGGGCAAGGGAAACAAAAGAAAAAAATAAGCAAATGGGACGACATCAAACTCAAAAGGTTTTGTACAGCAAAGGAAACCATCAATAAAACAAAAAGACAACTGACCGATTGGGAGAAGATATTTGCTAATGATACATCTGATAAGATGCTAATATCCAAAATATATAAAGAACTCAACAACTCAAAAACAAACAAACAAAAACGATCCAGGTAAAAATGGGCAGAAGACCTGAACAGATACTTCTCCAAAGAGGAAATACAGGCCAATAGACATATGAAAAGATGCTCAAGATCACTAATCATCAGAGAAATGCAAATTAAAACCACAATGAGTTATCACCTGACACCTGTCAGAATGGCTATCATCAATAAATCAAAGAACAACAAGCATTGGCGAGGATATGGAGAAAAGGGAATCCTCATACATTGTTAGTGGGATTGTAGTTGGTACAGCCTCTATGGAAAACAGTATGGAGGTTTCTCAAAAAATTAAAAATGGATATATCTTTTAACCCAGCAATTGCACTTCTGAGTATTTATCCAAAGAAAAGCAAAACAATAATTTGTAAAGATCTATGCACTCCACTATTTACATAGCCAAGATATGGAAGCATTCTGAATGCTCATCAACAGATGATTGGATAAAGAAATATGGTTCATATATACAATAGAATATTACTCAGCCATTAAAAAAATGAAATCCTGCCATTTGCGACATCATGGATAGGCCTAGAGATTTTTATGCTGAGTGAAATAAGTCAGAGAAAGATAAATACCAAATGATTTCACTTATATGAGAAATCTAAGGAACAAAATGAACAAATTAATCAAAAACAGACTCACACATATAGAGGACAATTTGGTGATGGACAGAGCAGAGGGAGGGCTGGGGGGCTGGGAGAATGGGGTGAAGGGCTAAAGAAGTACAAATTAGTAGTCGATAAATGGTCACGGAGATGAGGAGCACAGCACAGGGAATGCAGTCAGCATGAATATATTGGCTAGATGGAAAACCAGAGGAGAGACGGAGCAATTAGGGCGATCGTTTTATAAACTACATAAATATCTAACCAATGTATCATATACTTGAAATGAATAAGAAAAAATACAAAATAAAATCAAAGTGGAAAAAACCAAAGAAATGAGAAAATACTCCTAATGTAACATTAAATGGGAAAGTCAGTATATAAAATGTATGTATGATAAAGAGCAATTTGGGAAATATACCTATCACTATCTCTACCTCTATGTATAGAGCGAGGGGGGAAAAAAAGAAGAAAAAGTAAAAAGAGAATGCACCAGAAAAAAAAAAAAAGAGAACTCACAGCACTTTGTGAACTTGCACGGACACTTGTGTGCTCCTCCTTGACCTTTGAATGGACGTCAGGGAGTGGTTTCAGAAGAAACTGTGGGGTGCGATGAAGTCCAGGAGGAGGGATCTGTGTGTCAAACCAGAAAAGTTTTCTCTATAAACCTAGAGATGCTAACACAGACAGACCAACAGCAGAACAAGACAATGATTTCATAAGAATCTGAATCATTTTTGTACCTTGAGATAAAACCAGGTCCTGAAATTGAGGGCTAAGTCCGTTTGCCCACAACACAATGACTCATGGAAAAGAAGAATGTTGAGAATTTAACCAGGTGGAATGAACTGCTGAGAGAGTGCTGAGGCCTGCCGTCTTGGTTGTGGGCTCCCCATGATTGAAAGGGGTTCCCGGATTGTGGATTCTGTGCCTGGAGGGTCCCTGGGCCTGTGACAGTGCCTTTGGGTTGGAAAGACCATGGGCACAGATGACAGGGGAGGGGTGCCAGGGAGGATGGAGCTCTTGGGCTTTGGGAGCCTGGAGAAAGTGCCCCATGACTCAGCTTGGCATGTGGAGGTGCCACTTCTGAGTGGCCAGGAACATTGGTAATTGTTTTGTTCTATAACAATTACTGTCCTTAATCAACTGATACTGGATTTCTCACACGTCTCAATATGTTAGGGCACCCATTGATGAGTGCTGGGTGAAAGGAATGTGGGCAATTGAAGAGCAGGAGGTGGCAGGGATGATAGTGTGCCCCTTCCTCTGCCATGGCCATTTCTGCTTTCCCACAACACTTGAGGTCTGTGCCATCTCTCTCCTGAGAATAAGTGGCCTTAGCCAGGAAGCAGGAAGCTGGCATGTGGTGCTGAGGGTGACACTGATGGTTTTGAAAGCAGGGGCCTCCAACAGCAAGAGGAGTTCTGGGAGGCATAGAGGACCTGCAGAGATAGTAATGGGTCCTGAGAGCTGCCACTTTGAGGAGCTTCTGTTCTTGTTCAAGGAAACACAAAATATAGGGGCAACTGCAGCTTGTTGCTGAAAAGTGTTGCACCCATGGATAAGGAAAGAATCCTGTTATTTGGAAGTTGTTGTGTCTTTTGGGTAATCTAGATTGAGTCATCTTGACACTTAGAGAATGATAGAGACACCGCTCTTTATAAAGTAGTCGCTCAATAGGCCAAACAATAATTTCCCTTCAGTAGATAAAGTGGGTGAAATGTCCCAAGGACTGATAGCTCAAACGATCTAGAACATCAGGTACCGTAAAGGCCAGGACCTCATATTCCCAGTGGAAGATGAAGTCCTAGTGGCCAGCTATGTGTGACCTATTGTAGAAGTCTGTGAAAGTCTTGGATGGCCATTGCTAAGTGAAGTGTGGAAGTCTTTTATGTATTCTGTAATCATATTTGCTTTACAGCTTCTCTCCTTCCCCTCCTTCTCAAGGTCTCCTTGATGCCCAATCTTGGAAAAGCCATCATCTGGTTCTGAATCTAGACTGTACATTATGTATTCATTTGTTGCCTCCATAGCCACTTCTACAGAGAGAAAGGAGGTCTGCACAGCCCCTCGGGGGGAGTCAAAGGGGTGACATCAAGGTCAACCATTTTCCAGGTCAGGCCCTCAAACAAGATACATTGGTCTCCCAAGAGCTTCCTCCTCAACAGCTCCATCCTCATGAAGGGTAATACGTTCCACTTGAGAAAGAGTTCTGTGTGTCTGTGTATATTTTATTGAAAGATGAAAAAGTAGGAAAAGAAATGAGCTTTTAGCTGCCTGCCTCATGAAATGGTATATGGTTTCACTATGTTCCAAGTTCATCTAGATGATTGTGAGCAAACTTTTGCTTTATCAGATTTCATTAAAGTGAGAAAACAGTATCCTTTATGAAAAATGTCTGGGCTTGAGTTGAAGATCTTGTGATCTTATTATGCAATGTTTTTATGTATTGCATAATCATGTTTGCTTTACGATTCTGTCACCCTTACAGCATCTGCATCTGTAGGTAAAACTCATCTATGAGACCTATTTTGATGACTCCTCCTTATCCCCATCTCCAGTGCCTTACCATTCAGTGATGACCTTGCACACAACCTAATATTCAAAGTAGAAACTCCAAAGGCCCATGCAAAAAATAACTAAAATAAAGTAACATAAAAGACAGGGGAGAGGTGAAGAAGATAATATATACGATTCTATATTATTTAATTACAATTACACAATTGAGAGATCATCAAAAAAGATGCCGTACATATAAAATCGGTTATGTAATAAGAACTGTAGAAAGTAACAATTACCTTCTTTTTCCTGTTATATAATCTCGGAGGGTTAGGCAGGAATCCAACCTGAAACATAAGAAGATCCAAGTGGCTGGTCAGCCCGTGTTTCTGTTTAGTGAGTATGGCATTTCCACCTGCGTCATCAGTATTTCTACCTGACTGGCCCACAGTCAGCTCAAACCAAGGTGTCTCAGTGAGAAGCCATCTCCCTCGCCTGTACTTCTTCTAGAATTCAATCAATGGTGGCTGGAGAATCATCCTTAGAACCTTTTCTCTTTCTCTAGTGTTTTTATTTCCTTAAGTTTTAGGAAGTTTCCTTTCACATTGTCTTGAACACCTCTCGCTTTTCCATTGTTACCAGTGCCACTCAAGCGTGCATCCTCACACCAGGGCTATTTCATCAACACATGCTAATCCCACATGTCCTGGGATCAGACACTCCGGACAACCTCGGGCACGCAAAGGTGGACAAACCTAGAGGGGTCTGGAGGGAAAAGGAGAATGTGTGGAAGGAGAATATAATACAGTGCGAGAAGGGCCATAGCAGTGGGATCTGGGAGCCCAGGGAAGGGATGACCAGGGCAGGTCGGTCAGAGAATATTCAGAAAGGGGTGACAGCTGAGCTGGGAATTGCAGGTAGAGTGTAGGTTTGTTGGTTTGAAAGACAGCGAAGTCATTTTGAGGCCCCCTGGCTGTCTCAGATGCCATTTTCAATACATCATTTCACACCTCAGAAGACCTTACTTGTTCTGCACTGTTTATGAGTTTAAACTTTTTTGCCTGACATTAAATCTTGCCACAAAAAACCCCGGTGGATGGATTATGCTGTATTACACAACATCCATCTACCTCAACCCACAGAGCCCTTTTACCACGTTGAGGTGCTGCCTTCTGCTGAGGTATCAGGGCTTTGGCTACAACTCAACATACATTTGGTGAGCAAATGAAAGGCACACGGAAAGGCGCATCTCTTGCCTCCGTCACTAGAACACCTACCTCCATCAGCCGTTTTAGGGTCTTCCCACCGCAGCGCACACTCAGCTTCCAGTTACTTGACTTTTCATAGCCCCCTTTAACTTCAAATTCCCTGGGGGTGAACCAGTTCCCATCCTCGCTCTGTATACTCTTCACGATGGCTCCTGTAAGACCGGGGTAAATTGATCCTGAAACTTGTCCTCAGAGCTCTGACGGTTTGCTCCCGCCACACTGGATCTGCAGACACCCAATCTGAACTGCCCTTTCATACTTCAGAATTCTCAAACTCAACGTGTAAGTCCCCTCCAAAGAGATGTTCTGCTTTGTGCACACATTTCTTTGAACTTTGTGCAACTAAAAAGTAATCGTTACCATCAAAATCCACCTTATAAAATTATCAAAATCCACCTTATAAAATTATTTCAAAATCACTTACAAGGAAAAGCAAGTGATTCTGAACAATGAGAAGATTCCGATTTGTTATCAAATTCTGGGGATAGAGAACAAGCGAGACTCTCTGATGGTCCCGGGGGCAATGTGGAGGCAGAACCTCAAGTTGGGCTGAGATCTCAGGTGGGGGGGGGTCCCTGCTGCTCAGAATGGCACCCCAGAAACCTCTGTGCCATCTATGACGACATCTTCTATGCAAGTTTAAAGCCACTATTGAGCAGAAAATTTTCCATCCCGGAAATCACGGGTAGCTAACATTTCGATAATTATGAAAAGTTATTCAGTAGAAAATTTAACTTATCTATAAATGATAGTCATCTACTTAACAACATTATTCATTAGAGAAATGGAAGTCAAAAGCACAATATGATACTACATCACACCCACTAAGACGGCCATAATACAAAGTCAGACAATAACAAGCATTGGTAAGGATTTGGAGAAATTGTAGCCCTCAGACATTACTGGTGGGGATATAAACTGGTGCAGTACTGGAGAAAATAGTTCAGTGTTTCCTCAATAAGTTAAACATACGATTACCGTATAATCCAGCAACCCTCTTGAGGGTATACCCCCAAAAGAACTGAAAAAATATGTTCACACAAAAACTTTATATGAATGTTCAAAACAGTATTATTCATAATAACCAAATAATGAAAAACCTCAAACTTATGGATGGATAAACAAAATACAGCATATCTATACCATGGACTACTATATTATTTAGCAATAAAAAGGAGGAAATATAACACATGTTACTACATGGATGTACCTTGAAAACATCATGCTGAATGAAAAAAACCAGTCACAAAAGGTACATGTTATATAAGTCAATTGATATGAAATGCTTAGAATAAGCCTATTTATAGAGTACAAAATAGATTAGTAGTTGCTTAGGGCTGGATGGTGGGTTTAGGTAGGAACGGGCACTGACTACTGGGGTTTCCTTTATTGGGGGACAAAAAATGTTCTAAAATCAGATTGTGATGATGGTTGTATAATCTTGTGAATATGCAAAACAAACCACCCAACAATGAATTCTACTCCCAAGTGGTAAATTGTATATGTGAGTTATATCTCAGTAAAGCTGTTTAAAAAATAGTTATGATGCAAACGTTTATATGACATGGTGTTCGCATAGCCATATTGAAAGAAATATAATGTGACCCATCATAACAGACAATGATTGTAAATATTTATAATTTTAAAAAAATCACAAAACATTTTACATGTGTTATGGAAATTAACTCTGAAATTCACACCATGAGGCAGGATCTCGATTATTATCCCTTTTTCAGATGAGACATTTCAGGCTCGGAAAAGATCCCCTTCTCTTCTTAGATGAACCAGTCACTCTTGGCCTATCTGAGGGTGGGACTCAGGTTTTCTGTATCCAAATTCTGTGATCTTTTCACTACACCAAGCACCTTGTCCTGGTGATGATCGTCCAGAAGGGATACAGGACATGAAGGTGGAGGCAGAGGGCCTCTTCCCTTTTGTATCTGACTCAAAGTAAAATATGCAACATCTTCCGCTCATAGATTGAAGTTCCTGCACTCCTCTTTGGTTCTTTGGGCATCTTCATGGACACCTCCCTTTCGGGTGAACACTTAATATGTACCATTTCTTAAAGTGTGAAAATATCATCTTAGGGATTCCTTCCTGGTTTTTTTTTTTTTTTTCCAAGTAAAACTTGGCCCCCTTCCGTGAATGATATGTAATTCACATGGGAAACTCATTACTTCTTGTGATTCCTACATATAGGAGTTGTAAATCAGACCATGAAACCTACCTTGTTTCAGTTTGTTCTTATATAACATCCCCTTCACTGTACCACAGGTCACGGGAAGTATTTCAGACTGAAAATTCACACTTTCATTTGTGTTCACTTTTAACCCTAAAAAGAAAAGATTTCTTCATTCTCTCTCATTTTACAATTGCCCATGTACCCTCCTCCCATGTTGAGGTCACTCCCATAAAGATTTACGGGTACTTAAGAAACTTTATTTCACAAATATCTAGTTTCAAAGTCTTTCTTTCAGTGGCACTTTTGGTACAGAACTACAAAATGTCCACCTTGTAATCTACCTCTCAAATCTCACACAAAACAGAATGCTTCAGCAGAGACACCAGGCATCCATAAAATGGTCTTAACGCTCACTGATTCTTACAAGACAAGGAAACACACGAGGAAACAGGGGCTGGTGCCAGAGTCTGCACATCCCATGCAGAGTATCTCTGGGCTTTGTCTCCACACCAATTCTCAGGCATTCGATGGAGGGTTGTGAGGGTACAAGTGCCATCTTGTTGGTGCCATGGACATAAAGTACAGATTGGATGGACTGTCCTCAGGCAGTGTTTCTGACCCTACCTCTTTCCTGCTCCTCCAAGACTAGATACAGTGAACAGAACTGAAAACTCTAAGGTTTATAGCTGTCCAGGGTCCATGTTGGAGGCACTGTCTATCTTTCCCCTGGCTGAAGTATGTCTCATTAGAGACCTCAACAATTATAAATGCTGTTCTTTCGTGGGCTTCGCATTCACTTGCCTCTCTGATACAAACATGGTGACTTACGCCATAGGAGTGATCAGAGGAGTCCTAAGCAATTATAGTTTGTGAAGTTTGTTAAATGCTGCAAGAAGTAAGTCAAATGGATTTGGTCCTAGCCCTCACTGGTCAAATTTAATCAAAGTGGCTGGTGGAGTGGTGTCCTCATGGGGAAATTGTCAGAATCTGCTGTGTGAGGTGAATTTGTTGGGAGGCAACTTTATGTGGTATTTCCACATGACTCAAAGTATCTTTTCAAAAATGTTTGAATAACAAACAGCCTTGGAAGTTAGAGTTAATGTTTCCTGACTGGTATGAAATAGAGAACATCTCTCTTCTGATATATTTCAAAAAAGATAGTAAAAACTCCCTCCTCTCCCCAGAGATTTCCTTAAGTCCCAAGATCATGGTCATGTTCCATATCTTGATAACGATATGGATTGTACAGGAGAATACTTTAATCATAACTCAAAATATTTGTGTATCTCATTATAAATGTTATCTCAAAAGACAAAGAAAAATACTGCAAACAAATACTGAAGTCTAGTTATTAATAAGCATACTGAAGTGTCTGGAGTGGGAAGAGGGGTATGAGTGGACCTTTGGGGTTGATGGAAATGTTCTATGTCATGATCATGGTAGTTCTTACACAACGATATATATTTATTAAAACATCTACAGTTAACCCTTGAAAGTGGCGAATTCTCTTGTAAGTCTCGTGGTAACAAAGCTGACAAGAAAAGTAAAACTGTGTTTGATCTCTATAAAGAAAGCTATAAAACTTTGTTGAAGAACAAAAAAGGCAACCTGAATAAAGGCATAGTTGATTCTCCTTGAAAAAATCTGAATTCTACCCAAATTAATCCTCAAATTCATTATACTTGAAAGTTGCAATGGAATAGAGGAGATATCAAGAAAAAAATCTTGATTTGTTTTTAAACCCACAGTGAGTGAGCCAGGATCACTGAACTTCTGAAATCTCCATCTTTTCTGTTTCTCATCAATGTAGTTTTTCCTTTTTTTTTTTTTTCAACAGAAAATATAATGAGCAGGAATAACAAATTTATTTAAAGCTTTATAATTAAGCCATTTTGGTACTGTATTAGAAATAGAACATGATATCACTTATATGTGAGATAAAAATCTAAAAGCAACAAATGAACAGAACAAACAAACAGAGACTCATGGACATGGACTATAGACTAGTGGTCACCAGAGGGTAGCGTGTCGGGGAGGAGGCAGAGGTAGCTGGGGTAAAGGAGGTCAAATATGTGGCAACAGAAAGAAATCTAACTATGGGAGGTGAACACACAGTGTAAATATATATATATGCCTTACTGTTAAAGTGTACAGTTGAAACTTATTGGATTTAGTTAACCAATGTTGCTATAAAAAATAAAAATAAATAAATGAATTAATTTTTTAAAAAAGAAAAGAAATAGAACAGCTTTTCAGAGTAGAATGCTATTCATAGGTCCATGAATATAGGGAAAGGCACATAAAAGCGTATTTCAATTCATAGAATGTTGAAAAGTGTTGGTGTGCCTCCTTGTAATTACTATGTCATACCATAAACAAAGAGGCGACTCCCAAGTGAATTACAGATTTAAACATTAAAAAGTATTAAGTACTTCAAATATTCTAGATGCAAATATAGAACATTTTTAAAATCTCGAGGTAGAAAATATTTTCTTTGTAAATTTTTTATAAAACCTAAGAACCATAGAGGAAAAAGCCTGACAAATTTAACTACTATTTAAGTTTAAATTTCAAAATTCTTTAGGACAAAATAGGCTATTACAAACCTAAAAAATAACATCAAATGAGACAAAATATTAATAACATATATAGGAAAAATACAGTATATGTAATATGTTAATATTCCTATTCTTGTTCAGCATGATTTTTTTAAAAAATGACCAACATAACTGCAATCCTGGCAAGGCATATACCAGGCATTTATTGAAAAAAAAAAAGCAAATAATCAATAACCAATGGACAACGCTTAACCACACTAAAGAATTGTAGTAATGCACATTAAAACATGAAGTAAAACTTTTCACAGTTAAGTTGGCAAATGGTTATGTTTATAATGTCTAGTGCATAATGTACTGATTTAAAGTAAAGAAAATGTAACAGTATGAATAGACTTCTTTAGATATATAACTCTAATAGTGTTAACGTATGGAAATATTAACATCGAAGTTTACAAAGATAAAATATTTTAAAATAAAAAACATAAAGATATATTTTGAAAAAATATAAATTACTGATTTAAAAGATGTAAACTAATCTTACAAAGGTGAAATACACATGTTTTTTTGTTCGTTTTCTGGTTTTATGAAAGATGTTAGTTCTCTATTGTAGCTATAATAAATTACTATAAATTTTGTGGCCTAACAACACAAATTTTTATGTTACAGCTCTGAAAGTCAGATATCTGACACAATTTTCACTGGGCTAAAATGAAGGTGCCCACATGGCTTTGTTCCTTTCTGGAGGCTGTCAGGGAGAATCCCCCCTTTTTTTTAACTTTTTTTAACTTTTCCAGCTTCTGAAGGTTGCCCACATTTCTTGGCTCATTGTCCCCTGACTTCATCTCCAGAAAGAGCCACATTACACCTCCGTGATCATTATTCCATAGGCACATATCCCTCTCTGCACTATAGGAAAGCTTTATGATTTCTAAGGACCTATGGGATTTGATTGGGGCCACCCAGATAATCCAGAATAATCTCCCCATCTCCAGACTATTAACTTAATCGCATCCTCAACATCTCCTTTCATATAAGGTAACATTACAGGTTCCAGGCATTAGACAAGGACATCACTGTTTCTGTTGTTATAAAATTCTCAAGAACCTTCTAGATCTCCTGTGTATGTCATGGGGACTTCCTCTATTAGACAAGAGGCTCCTCCACAGATCTTTGCTATATAATCACATATTTACTTTTGGCTCTGGCTGAGATGGTCGAGGGAATCTGTGAGTCACATACTTGATCTCATCAAAGAATCTTGTATGTAATTCAATACTCTGAACTTTTGCTACTTCCCAGGCTCTTGCAAAAAGTTGTACAGCCACACTCTTGGTCATTCTACAGAACACACTTTCCTGACACTGAATCTCATAATTTTAGCGACTTTTGCAACCTGAGTAAGCTAAGAATAATCCAAGTTATCAAGTTCTGATTCTCTTTCGTTTAGCAGTTTTCCCCTCAAATTACCTCTTCCACTCAAGTTTTACTGTAAGCAGCAGAAAGAAACCAGCTGCACCTTCATCGCTTGCTTAGAAGTCTCCTTAGTGTATATCCAGAAAGTTCTGCTTCCCACTATCTGCAGGACAGAATTTTGCTAAGCTTTCTGTCACTGTATAATAAGGATCCTCCTCCTCTAGCTTCCAAAAACAAGTTCCTTATTTCCTTCTGAGCCTTGACAATTCACACCTTCAACCGCCATATTCCTACACATTTGTGCTGTTCAGGATGATTTATTTACTTTCTGAGATAATATAGGTTTTTCTCTCCCATATTCTTCATTTCTTTGAGTCCTCACTAGTAGCCTTTTTTTTTTTTTTGAGGTAAACTTTTTTATTCTCAGAAAACAACAACAACAAAACTTTGATCTTACATCATTAAAGTCATCTTTGGTCTTACATTAGTTTTTTGTTTTCTGGGTTTTTTTGTTTTTTTTTTACTAATTTAAACAACTTTACTGTCTGGGTCAGATAATTTCACCTGATAATAAGAAATATAATTCATTAAGAAGATAAAGAACAGAATGACCACTGCCTCCCAACTTACTTCAAGCACATGAGATTTATATTATCACTGGTAATTTCATATCCAAGAGATTAGAAAATCCAATGAGATAATGTAGAGAAAATATTACATAGTGATTAAAAGTAATAATTTTGAAATCAGACTGCCTTGATTCATTTCTGACGTTTTAAATTAAATTTATTGGGGTGACATTGGTTAATAAAATTATATAGGTTTCAAGCCTACAGTTTAATCATATTAAATAAGATCATCTGTATGTTGCATTGTGTGTTCACCACCCAAAGTTAAATTACCTTCTGTCACCGTATATTTGACCCCCTTTACCCTAATCTACCTCCTCCTACCCAATGACAGTTTTTAGCATCCACATTTCTATGGACAAACTGCTCGAGGCAATCTAGTTTTTTCTATCACTCTACTTAAAATTATTTCAGCCTCTGTCCACTGTCCAAAGCCACTGTCTCTCATTTTTAGAAATATGTTATATCCATAACCACTTCCTAGAAACAAAGTCTGTATTATTCCTACATTGCTTCCATAACAATTGACTACAAACTTAGTGGTTTAAAACAACACAAATTTATTATGTTACTATTAATGTCAGAATTCTGACATGGGTCTCACTGGACTAAAATCAAGGTTTTACTAGACCTTCATTCCTTTCTGGAGACTGAAGAAGACACTATTTACTTGATTTTCCTGATTCTAAAGGTCACCTATATTCCCTATCACCTTTCTCCATCTTCAGAATCAGCAATATTGCATCTCTCTGATCATTCTTCCATAGTCACTTCTCCCTTTTTCTACAGCCAGGGAATGTTCTGCACTTTTTAAGTATACTCCATACTGGACCCATCTGGTGATCCAAGATAACCTCACCCATCTCAAGGTCTCCAGTTTAATCACATCTGTAAAGTCCACTTGCCATGTACGAAAAGAGATTACAGGTCCCAAGGATTAGGACATGGACATCTTTGAGGGACCATCATTCTTCCTACCACAGTATTATAAATGATGATAATGTTGAAATGGTGGCATTAAGAAACTCATTTATCACATCAAAAGCAAGTAAAATCTCATTCTTACTTCTTTTTCTTATGCGTTTTCCTAAGATAGAGTTGTTTCCAAGATCCACAGTGTCTAGGAAATAGCAATGGAGGTGAGAAAACAGAAATGAATAAATAAAATGCATAAATATTGGGATCTTAATGTTAGTGAGAGACAGCAGGTATTAAGAAAGATACTATTATTTGCTATTTTTTCTACAATAGTGATATCTTATTACCTTCATGTAGTCAAGAGGACTCATCCTGTTAAACATGAGTCCATCTTCAGAGCCAGCAATTCTGCATCTCTCTGACCTTTTGTCCACAGGTATTTCTCCCTCTCTCCACAGCTTGGAAAGGTTCTTTACTTTTTAAGGCCTGTGGGAGTCTATTGGGCCCACCCAGTTGATCCAGGATAATCTTCCCCATCTCAAGGCCTCTTGTTTAATTATACCTGTAAAGTCTCTTTTCCCATGTAAGATAACATATTACAGGTCCCAGGGATTAGGACATGGACATCTTCAAGGCGCTATCATTTTGCCTACCACATTATTATAAACAACAATTAGGATGAAATTCTGGCATCAAAAAACTCATTTCTCACATCAAAAGCAAGTAAAATCTTATTAATTCTTACTTCTTTTCCCCTTGGATTTTCCTAATGTAGAGTTCTTTTCAAGATTCACGGTCCCTAGAAAATAACAAGAGTTGGTGAGAAAACAGAAATGAATTAAAAAGTTACAAATTTTAGGATGGTTCATACTGTAGAAGGCTTGAATTTAATAAAGATGTTTGAATATTTTTTCTCTCTTTCTTCTGAAAGAACTAAAACCCTACTGAATTGAGAAGTAGGAGTCCAGGGTGGGCTCTGGGTCTTCCACTATTTCCCAACAGCACTTTGGAAAACTCTCTTAAATCCCTTTGTACTGCAGCTTACTCAAGGATAGGAACACATATCCTATCTGTTTAGATCTTAACATTTTTGTGAGATGTCAGAGCCCCCTCGGCTGGGCCCTTAGTGACCATGGAGAGCAGCAGAAATATTTAATCCTTTTATTTGTGTGAAAAATGAACTTGTATTGCGCTTGTGCCATTGAACTTTTGTAACAAGTAGCTCAGCCCACCTAATGCAAAACATAGAATGTGTGTCATCTAAAACCTCAATGAATTATTTTTTTATTTAAATAAAGAAAACAAACAAAAAAATATTTAAATAAAGCTTTTGTAGCCAAGAAAGACATTTCTTCTTTACATCAAGAGTGTTTAATTGTTCTTCCATCTTTTCTATGCCTTGCCTGTCCCCTAAATAGATTTGCTTTCAATGCCCATAGGATTTGGGAGTAAAGGAAAACACAGCCAGTAATCTATAATTAAAAGAGTTAAATCTTATGACTCCTCACACTGTAGAAAATTTGGAACATGAAGATGTGATGATAACCCTCTCTGTCTCTTCCCATCTAAAGGAAAGAGATCACTACCAAATGGAGTAAAGACCTACAATCACTTAGCCTATATGGAAAATCAAAGAAGTGTTAAAAAGCAACATTTTTTTTTCCATAGGCTTGCAGCCAACTAATTTGACAGTGAATCTGGACTTGAGTTGCCATAAGTCGGCATAAAATTCTTTATCACACTTGCAAATTATGATAATTTGCTGCAGAAACATTAATATAGTATATTTGAGAGTGGAGTTCTTCTCCGTACCTTGTTGGGATGTTTTGTAACATATAGGATATAATCCAAAGTGTCTTTCTAAAACAATAAAACTTTATTACATTACTTCTGATCTCAGAGGGTTTGAGTAAAGTGTTATAGATGTTTGCTAGGAGTCTGGGCTGTTAATTCTGCCTCTTCTGGTAAATTTCCATGAGTAATATGTAAAAGATTCTTTAAAATTTTGGTAGGGGAGTTTTACCATCTGTGGAATGGGGGAACAACAATTATCTGGCCTAACTTTTAGGTTTTCTTTAGGGTATCTTTTGTGCAAAGATACTTTCAAATATCATTATAAGGCCAGTAGCATGTTGAGGGGCATCTGTGAAAAGTTATAAATTAAATTTGATGGTAATAACCAGAAGTTTTCCTTCTGTAAATAATTAAAGAGCAGGACCAGAGGTTATTGAGTTTTAAACAAGTTTGTGACAAAAATGAACAAGTAGCTGACTGTCCCATTTCTCTGCTCTCTGCAAAATGTGTGGTAAGTAAGGGTGGACATCATTATATAATCCAATACTTTGGGGAATAATGTGTCTGAGAACATGTGGTAAGACAGCACTGCTATTCAACTAGAGCCACCTCATTAAGCTTCAGTTCATAATGATTTCTTTCTTTGCAGTTTTCAAAACGGTCACAGGGGATGGATGCAGAGAATGGCTCCTGGGCTGTGATGTGTGCTCAGAAAAACAGGAGCCCTGAACTCAGACTCCAGATGTCCTGGGGCCCAGAGATGGCGGTCCTTACCCTTCTCATCAGGATCACTTCTCAGCTCAGGGCTCCAGGCTCCGGGATGCTCATTTTTCACACTGGACTCTGAAGAGTCTCCACGTCTTCTTACTGTAGAAGGAGCAAATGTCCTTTGAAGGTCATAGTGGGGAGATTGGGTAACTAGATTATCTAGTCTTCCTCTTACCCGCTTGCTTTGTTGACAAAGGAATCAACAGAGGGAAAACTTGGGAAACTCTGAAAAACCAGGGCAAGACCCTCCCTCCCTCAGATTTCTATGATCTGCTATTTGTATTCACGTGACTATAAGTCAGTATTTTGTCCCTCCTGTCCCCTGAGCCTAGGGCTAAGATATTTCACTCTCAGTAGGCATCGCTGCTTTGTCTAGGCCCATTGACTTTTGCACGGGATTATCTTTTTTCTTTTACATGTAGCTTTATTTTTGTTGTTTTGGTGTCTGTAATTGTATTATTAGCTCTGTTTCTCTCCCAGGGCAGTACTGAAAACTTGGTATTAAAGAAGACAGAGCTCTCACTTGGCTGCTTCCCAGAATGACTAGTGAACTAGAACCAACCCCTCCCCTTTCTAAAACTCCTTGGAATTTTTACCTGAGAAAAAACTGAAAATTCTATTGTGTTTGAATCATTGACTTCTTTGGGTTTATTTGTTACAGCTATTAGCCTAATACAAAAGTTAAAATATAAACCATCTTAATTTAAAACATTTATATTTTACTTTGAAGGATATAGCAAAGAATTAGAATGAATCTTTTGTAGAAAACATTGTTCATCTGTAACCATGAAGGGTGCTTATTTGCTCCTTCTGTAAATAATTAAAGAGCAGGACCAGAGGTTATTGAGTTTTAAACAAGTTTGTGACAAAAATGAACAAGTAGCTGACTGTCCCATTTCTCTGCTCTCTGCAAAATGTGTGGTAAGTAAGGGTGGACATCATTATATAATCCAATACTTTGGGGAATAATGTGTCTGAGAACATGTGGTAAGACAGCACTGCTATTCAACTAGAGCCACCTCATTAAGCTTCAGTTCATAATGATTTCTTTCTTTGCAGTTTTCAAAACGGTCACAGGGGATGGATGCAGAGAATGGCTCCTGGGCTGTGATGTGTGCTCAGAAAAACAGGAGCCCTGAACTCAGACTCCAGATGTCCTGGGGCCCAGAGATGGCGGTCCTTACCCTTCTCATCAGGATCACTTCTCAGCTCAGGGCTCCAGGCTCCGGGATGCTCATTTTTCACACTGGACTCTGAAGAGTCTCCACGTCTTCTTACTGTAGAAGGAGCAAATGTCCTTTGAAGGTCATAGTGGGGAGATTGGGTAACTAGATTATCTAGTCTTCCTCTTACCCGCTTGCTTTGTTGACAAAGGAATCAACAGAGGGAAAACTTGGGAAACTCTGAAAAACCAGGGCAAGACCCTCCCTCCCTCAGATTTCTATGATCTGCTATTTGTATTCACGTGACTATAAGTCAGTATTTTGTCCCTCCTGTCCCCTGAGCCTAGGGCTAAGATATTTCACTCTCAGTAGGCATCGCTGCTTTGTCTAGGCCCATTGACTTTTGCACGGGATTATCTTTTTTCTTTTACATGTAGCTTTATTTTTGTTGTTTTGGTGTCTGTAATTGTATTATTAGCTCTGTTTCTCTCCCAGGGCAGTACTGAAAACTTGGTATTAAAGAAGACAGAGCTCTCACTTGGCTGCTTCCCAGAATGACTAGTGAACTAGAACCAACCCCTCCCCTTTCTAAAACTCCTTGGAATTTTTACCTGAGAAAAAACTGAAAATTCTATTGTGTTTGAATCATTGACTTCTTTGGGTTTATTTGTTACAGCTATTAGCCTAATACAAAAGTTAAAATATAAACCATCTTAATTTAAAACATTTATATTTTACTTTGAAGGATATAGCAAAGAATTAGAATGAATCTTTTGTAGAAAACATTGTTCATCTGTAACCATGAAGGGTGCTTATTTGCTCTTACTTGTTTTACAAAGTCTTTTCCCAGGTGTAAGCGATTTTCTCAAATCTATGGGCTCTACAAAGTAAAAGGGAGAAAACAGGTATTTGGTCACAGCAGTCTTACATATTCTATGACAACTAACAAGGCTGATGGGCTTGTGATGATAACAATGTTTTGAGGATCATTTCCCTCTCCTCCCAGTTCTTGTGCCCAGGGTTATAATGCTGAATTCCTGCCAGCTCTCGTTTTTACCCTCTATGTGAATTTGTAAATGACCCTTAAACATTACTAGCTCCAGTTTCATCATCTATAAAGGTAAAAGATATATCGAATTTGGGGGTAAGAAGAAGACTGGATAACCTAGTTACCCAATCTCCCCACTAAGGTTTTTGTGAAAGCAAAATGAACTTTTATTCACAAAAGCCCTGTGAAAAATCACAATGTAAGTCAATAGTTTAACTATAATTTGGGTTTGAGAGTAGTTGGTCTAAAGCCATTTTTTCCATCAACAATTAAATAGCAACACGAATTATTCTTTGAAGATTTTTTGAGTCTGGTACTAATGACAATATTATCAACAAATAGTGGAATGCAGTAATTACTGTGCTCTATAGACTATGAAGTATGTTTGTAGACGCTAAGTACCTTAATTCAACTCTTTAGCATAACTAGATATGATAATGTATAGTAAAAAAAGACTGTCATTTTACTAGCATGTTATTGCTACATTTTCTGTATATCAATTGTTTTGGCTCATTCAGTTAAACAACAATTTATAATGCCTTCTTGCCTCCTTCCATTTTCCAATTGGGTCAAAGAAGTTAAATGGTGACCTAGAAGTAATCGAACTCAAGGCATATGGAGAATGTCAGAATAAAATTCACCAGGAGAACAGGCCCTGCATTTAGACTCTGGATATTTGCTGTCCAGGAATGCAATCTTTATATTCTTACCTGGTACCATCTGGGGTCTTGAGCAGTTGGCTTCTTGGAGCTCTTTCTCGCTTGATTCTAAGGATTCAAAGTTATTGATCATGGTACAAGGAATGGAATTCTATAGATGCCTTAGTGTGTGATCAAGAAACCAATTCAGCATGAAATTCCCTAATAAAACTTGAAAAAAATCTTGAAAACTCATGCAAATCGCAGCCTGCATCCAGGCCACCCTGGTCTGCCTTTCTAAATCACCTTATAGGTTAGTGATGCTCCGTGCCCTGTCCCCAGAGCAGGGACAATTCGCTGGCAGGGGGAAGCTCTGTTCTGTTCAAACCTTACCTTCTTACACTTCTCTCTTACCCCTTCTACTGTTATTTCACGCTTCATCCTCTTTCTTTTGTGGGGAAACCTTGGGAATCTTATGTTGAAGAAAGCGATTCTCCTCTACCCCCTGCCAACCTTGAACTGTTTGCAAGGCTGAGAAATAATCTTCTTTTGCATCTGAGCCATAGATCTATTTTGGGACCACCTTTTAGAGCAGTTTGTCTACACTAAGACATGTTAGAATGTGCATTCTCTATAATCAGGGGGATTGTTTCATAAACTATATACATGTCTAACCAATGTACTTTATACTTGAAACTAATAATAAAATAAATTTTTTTAAAATTACAATTAAATTTAAAAAAAGAATGTGCACTCTAAAAAATAAAGCAAATTTACTTTTTCCATTGATAGTTCTAGTGAGCAATTGAATGACTACATTATTTAAAATACTGATCTTTTGTAACATCAAGACCAGGTAACATTTTTTCCTTTGTTCTTAGATCTTTTCCTAGTGTATTTCCATAAATAGACATGTTTCTAATAATCTCTGAAGGAGTAGAGAGGGAAAACAAATCACCAGTTTGTACACTAAAGAGCTACAGATCTTATGGCAATTCATGCAGCATATAGGAATGAGGAAACAACATTTTGATAACTGTTTCGAGCTCCAGTTTCACAAAGGAAATAAAGCAGAACCCAGGACACTAGTCTTGTCTTTCCCTTCATCTCCAGGAGACTTTGCAGAAGACCTGAAACATGTATGCGATTGTGTTTTCTAGAATCAGGGGTAACAATGTCTATCTTGCTTACCCCTCTGTGTTGTTGCAAAGGAAAAAGTAAGACACTATTTGCAAAGGTCCTTTGAAAAGTCACTATGTATATCATGACCTACTGAAGAAGTCTGTAAAAACAGTGGTTTGGGTTTCAAACCATCTTATCCATTTCTGCTAACACTAGAGAGCTGGATGAGTTGTCTTTAGACACAATTCAGTTGTTGATCAGAAAACAATATGACCTTCCAATAAAGAAATATTAGCTTTCTCTTCTCTGTAGAAATCAACCAATAAATTCAACACTTTATTGTCATAGCAACTAGTCAGTTTTAAAACCAACTCATTACTTCGCTAGCCTATGTTTACTATATAATCAATATATGGATACATAGGTCGATTAATAGGACCTATCAGTTAAGAGGCCTCATATAATGATTTCTTATTGCTTTACACATTCCAAAAAGGTCAAGTAAAATGAAGACATTGAGATTCCAGGATAAACTGGCTCCATGGTACAGGATGAACTCAGAATAAGTTTCCTCAGGAAACAATAGCTCTAACTCGATTCTCTGCCCAAGCCTTTCTCTCCCACCTTTTTACCAGGCCTCCTTCTTAGTTTCCAGGTGGAGGCTTCTGGGGCTTGATTCCATCACTGGATTCTGTGGAGTCCTCACTGCTCATCACTGCGCAGCGGAGCAAAACCCTTTAGGGTCTCATGGTGGGGGCACAGAGACCATGGATAGGAATCCCATAATGAGAACTCTAGGGAGACCTGGAAGCTATGCTAACTCAGGTGACCCAGCTCTGTGCCTGAATGTATGTGACCTGCAGGTTGTTCCAGGTCCTACACAAAAGGTGATGAAATTCATGCGTAGAGGGCAGCTTGGCCCCTCCCGCACCTCTTCTTACCCCTACTCTCATTCTATTTCTTACCTCCGCCCCCAACCTACCTTCAACCTTATGCAGCCTCTTCCTTCCGCCCTGATTCTACCTCTCACTTCTACCCTCAATGTAATTCCTAACCCCATCTCATTTTACCTCTTGTCTTTACCGTCAATCTTCCTCTTACCCCCATCTTTGTTCTTCCTCTGACCTCCACTCTCATTCTACCTCTTTTTTTTCTTTTCATTTTGCTTCTTCAGTTTTCTCTCTGCTCAGCCCATTTTTGCTAATTACTTCTGTTTCTGGCGATGATATCTCTTTATACTTCTCGTCTTCACGTGTTTCTTCTTCTTCTCCTCTCATGAATACCTTGGCTATTTGATTTTTCCCCTTTTCTTTAGCTCTGGCCCCAATATCTCCCCTTCTTTGAATAGAGAACTATACTTTCTGACATCAATACTTAAATTTCCCATTGAGTTTTTGGTATTTTTCCAATTCCTGTGGACTTTCTTCTACTGAACTCACTGCATAAGGCGCTGGTTCCCTCCCTTTGCTACATCTAGCCAAGGCCACCTGGATTGCCTCCATGGGCTCTGATGACATGTCCCAGACCTTTGCCTGGTACCATGATTTACATTCTACATTCTTTTAGTCAGCCTGGCCTATTACTATGTCAGATGCCTGGTTATAGTCAGTCCTTGCTTGGGCTTGCCATTCAACTTTTGGGTTAAAAAATGTCTTTTCCTTCTATATATCCACCAGATATATAGAACAGGAATTGATTTGGTTTTCATGATTGGGTAGCTCTGTTCCTGGACTAAATTGTTATAAATGAAGAATTTTTATTTTTGTCTCCTTAAAAAGGAGTGAGCACCCCTCACTACTATTAACAAGCCCTTCTCCCTATACTTACACTGCAGGGGGAAAGCTCACTCTGATTTCTCTCCTTTCCTGCTGCTCTACTCTGTCTCTCTCTTAACTGTTTTGTTTTGTTTTGTTTTGTTTTTGTTTTTGTTATTTTCCTGCAGCGAGCCCTATTTTTATCCGAGAGGGTTCCAGGGCCTTTCTGACCACCCTGGCCTCAAATCGGTCAGCGATTTATCTTCTCTCTCTCTGCTTTCTACCGGTTTTTCATTCATTGTCTTTTACTCATTCTTTATATAGCTCTCTTTGTGCTTCTCCCATTTAAAAAATTTATTGGTATTCATTTCCTTCTGCATCTTTCTCTCATCGTACTCATTTCCTCCACATTTTTATCACGGTACCCAGGGCTCTGTAGGGTCTAGGGTAAAGCAAAGTTTATGTCTAGGACATGAGAAGGTGCTAAGCGTGAGATCTTCCTTCCATGTGCCCGAGGGTCTCCTCTGTCTGGCCCTGTTGTCCCCTCTGTGACATTTCAGTTTATCCATTCTCCGTTATGTTTCCTACTTTCTCCTGTTCATCTCTGCTTCTCAATTATTAATGTGACCTGTGAATACTGCTTCTGTATCAATTTTGCGTTTTGTTTTCTTCATCTTAAGCATTCCTGTCATTACCAAGGTCCTTCTCCTGTAACTATGCCCACCACACCGAGTCCCTCCACCTGCCAGTTCTACTTCATACTCATCACACTCCGCCACTCAGTCTTATCTGCTGGCTCAGACTCTTGAGCACCTTGTTCCTTCACTTGTAGGCTTTCTAGTGCATTATTGTTGTCATTGGTTGTATATTTTCTCTTTACATTTATCTGCTCTGTTTCAGAGAGGTGCTCTGAGGGTCCTTTTTCAGGTGAGGTTGTACCTAAACCACAGTTTGATGCATAGCTATTTTATTCGCATCAATCGGTGTCCAACAGCAGAGTTCAGTCCTTATTCTCAGCGGCTGAACTTGCACAAAATAACTGCTGTACCTCATTCTTTCTCCTCTGAAAAACGAAGATGACATACCATTCTTTTAAGGTGTTTGAGAAGATTAAATATTGCCTATCTCATTATGAGGGATATTGTGACTGATCTGAAAATTAACTCTTTTGATTAATGTCTTAAATGAATTGTATTTAAAATAATTTAATCACATTATTAAGAGTGTTATAGATTAAGGAGAAGTCAAGAGATGCAAGCTGTCGTTATTAGTTATTAAAGTACCAAAGTGTTTTTTCAGGGGCCCATCAGGTATTTGGCAGGCAGCTCCTGGCCTGCAGCCCCAGGAATGATGGGAGAGAGTTTGCAAGGGAGGCATCTGATGCCCATGGTCCTGTGTGAGAGACTCAACAGGTAAACCCTGGCCCAGGAGGAACACACTCATCACCCCTCCCTCACATCTGCCCCTGCAGCGCTGGCTGCTGCTGGACGTAACACCAAAGCACTGAGGCCACAGCCAGATGTGAGCAAGACAGATGCAGAAAACTGTGAAGCCAGGCACATGGGCAGTAAGTCCCAGAATTGTCAGGAGTCGGCAGCAAATGCGTTTAAAGAAGATAGGAGAAACCTTTCCAGACAACCAAGGAAATGAAAGCTGTTATAATTCCTTGGAGAAATTGCAGAGGCAAGATGGACAATTCTGGGTAATGAGTATTAAAAAGAAGCAGCACCCTTACCCACCCAAGCAATAGGACCAGAATAGCAAAGGATCACAGAACAATCAACAAGAACAGACCATCGTAATGTGAGGCATTTGTGCTGATCCAAGTCAGGTAGTTTTCACCAGTTCCTAGGTGGCAAAAATTAGAAGTTTATTTCAGAAATTAAGGTGTGAGCTGTGCTACTCTCCCCTAATCACTTTTTAATCTTTATAAATTTGGTATTGAAGACACATCCCTCTCCCCAAGGTATCAAAACAGAGTCCATCTGGACCTGGCGGGTCCCACCCAACTCTTGCCATCACCCGCACACTCTTCTGGGAGGGTCTCAGCAGGTGGTCTCGCTGAGTGTCGTCCACGAGCCACCCAGGTAATGGACAATAGTTTTTCTTGTCACTCATTGCCATGGTGAACCTGCCTTAGCCTCCAGAGCTGCCCCTGACTGGTGGCCTTACCTTACTTCCCGTGCCCCTCCCCCCACACCCTCCCTCTGCACGTGTGCTCACGCCGTCTTGCTGGCCTTTCCGGGAGGCTCCGTGTCTGACTCTCCTCCACTTCCTCAGCTCCTCCTGTTCTTATTTCTTTATCTTTCCCTCTGCATTTATTTCCCAATTTTTGTCTCATGTTCCTGCCTTTTCTGTGATTTCTTCTCTGTGTGTATGTGTACAGGGTCAAGAACACAGGCTCTGGCTTCAGAATACCGGGTTCATCCTGCTCATGTGACCCCAGAACAGGTACATACATGAGCTCTCTGATTTCTGCAAAATGGGCACCTAGTGATGCCACCCGTCAGTGGCAGCTGTGAGCGCTAAACCCAGGACTGCCCGAGCCAATGTTCAATAAGCGAGCTCCTGATAATGTGGTTGTTTTTTATTGTGTTTTTACCCCTTTCCTCTACTTTTCACTGCCCCTCCTTCTTTCTCTCTCTCTAATACCCACACCACAACCACTTCCTCTCTTCTCTCTACATGAGTCTTTCTCCTTGAATTTCCTGCTCTTGAACAACATCACACATTTAAATCAGTCTCTTCTCCTGCCATCAAGAGTCTTCTCACCAACATTGACCTTGAGGTCATAGTTTTAGCCCTTCGCAGCTTCACACTAATGATCTCCTAGTAGCATCTTTCTAAATTATAATTACTTCCAGTTCCTCATCCCTTTAAATCTGGTTTACTGGCACTTTGGGTTTCTGGTTTTTTGTCTTGGTTATTGGGCCAATGGGTCTCTTATCATAGCTACTACTCCAGGATTGGCCTCTGGTCAGATGCTCACACAAATGCCCAACCCTGCCTTCTCCATGTGCCCTGACCTTTCTTCTCCACTCAGGACTCAGACCCCCACCTTCCTTTCTCCTTTCCTCGTGACAGATGAGAATCCATTTTTATCTAGTTGCAATCACCTTGTTCAAGGCTTTTTGGAGTATTCAAGTTCTCCTTCCTTTCTTTTTCATCGCTCTCTTGACAAGTTCCCTGTTGGATCACTGAAGAGAGGGAGAGAGAAGAGGACGGTTAGACATCTCCATCAGATACCACAACAACATCTCAAATTTACACATTTAGGAATTTTTAGCTCTTGGGACCTGCTGAGCTCCCTGAGAGCTCAGCGGGTCCCAGTCCTCATGGTGAAGTTCCCCCTTCATCCCTGGGACAAAAGGAGAACCTCCAATAAGGGAGCCCTTACGTGACCCCCACAGAAAGGAGCCACTTGAATGTCAGGATAAAGGAGTCGTGGAAACAGCCTGTTACTCATGTAAAAAAAAAATTCAGGTGGCTGAGAAAGCATATGTCAAAATAAATACTGGAAGTGAAATAAATATTCTGACCTGTTCAAACTGGAAGGAGGAAACAGAGGAGTTTTCTTAGGAGAAAAACTAAGATGCTATAGAGGTACATGGGTATAAAAGAGAAAGCTCAGAAGCTTTAAAAAAGCGGCTGGGCAAGAGAAGGGTGAAGTTAATTGGGTCAGGGAGGATGAGCCTTTCCCAAAGAGACACCAGAGGACACTGGAGGAATTAGAAAGACCTCCAGGTGGGGGCAGGGGGATGGGGCAGATCTCAGGAACAAAGGAAGGACACCCTCTGAAGCTGCAAGCAGGGAGTGCATATTGTGGTGTAACCAAGAGGCTTGGACCATGGACTTGGGAATCTGCTAAGGAGAGAAGGTCAGGACATGTAGGTGATCCAGCAAATGTGTAAAGGAAGGAAATAAACCAAGAAGCCCGGAGTGAGTGTCTGGGGAGAATCTGGAGAGGAGGAGCTTAGGAAGGAGGTGGGCCCACATTGCCCAGTGCTGATGGCAGGGGTACCTCTTGAGATAATAAACCTGTGCTTATAAACCTATAACCTGTGGTATCTCTTTAATGTTATATGAATAGACTTGAAATTCCTTGGTTTTAGATGCCAGATCTTTCAAAATCTTTTTCAAATGTATCCCTTTTGAACCAACTCTCACAATTTGTTTCTCACTCTCAGATTGAGAGAAATCTAATTGTCCTGGTTTTGCAGAGATGCTGGACCCTTTCACATTCTGTGCCTGTTCCTGTAGCATCTGCCCTCTTCGGTTCATATAATCATTTTTCCTGTGGATTCTCCATCATTATTTGGAGATGTTGGTTGATACTAAACTGTGTTGGAATAAAACATTTTCTAGGCAAGTAAGACAAAATTTACGGGAGGGCATCTTCTTTACTGAGTACCAATTAAAAAGTATAAAGCATGAGTCTCAGGAAAAAGTGGTAAATCAAACCTGTAGTTTTGTGTAGTACAAAAACCGGTCTTGGCAGAGCAATTGATTTTGTGATTAATGTTTGTTTCACCCCTTGTGGAAAAAGAGTTAATAAAACCCTTTCTCCTTCTTTAAGAGCAAATTAGACCTCGGGTTAACTTTCTTGCTCATTATTCTGGACACATGATGAAGGTGGTCTCCCTTCTGTATTACTAGGCCAACACTGGGTTTAGAGTGAAAAGTGACCCATAACTGGTCAAATGTGGACTGGGAGGGACTATCTGTAAACTATAAGATATTTTACGTCTTCCTTCAGTGTGTTGACTCTTGGGGTCCCTGAAAGTTTTCACTACGGAGTAGTTATATGATACATTGACTCCCATGAGTGTGGTGCTGCTCAGCCAGGGTGGATCCTACACCCACAGCTATGCTGTCATTCGAGGCGGGTAGCAGTCAATGTGGTGGACTGCTGTGTCAGCCACTGCAAGGAGTTCCCCGGGAGAGGAGTAACTGATGCTGCCTTCCTGGGATGCTATATTTCCTCTCATTTATCCTTCTAAGTAAAGCTTTGGGTCTGGTTGTCTTATGAATCTAAATGCCTAGTTAAGCAGACATCCAGGTGAGTGTTGTACCATAGTCATTATACAACAAGCTTGGAGGCAGCTCATGACATGTTTGGTATCTCAACTGCTATATTCCTACTTCTCATCACTGTGTGTGATTCATGGTAGATGCTCAATAAATACTTGTAAAAAAAAATTGGCCTTGGACAATGGAAAGTAGGTAATAAACCTATTTACCAGCTTTGAAGCTTTCATAAATGCGGTTTAAAGCAGGGTAGCTCTTCATGATGACATCGCTGAACAATGTTTCCAGAAGTGACAGGTCAAATGTCTTCTCCACTTCACTGAGAACGCCGTACACCACTCTTTGTACAGGGACCAGGTTTCTACAAGAATCTTGAGAATCCTTAAAAACCATTGAATAGAGAAAATATAAACAAAGACTTCCAAGTTACCAAAGTGCTCTATAAAGTGATTTTTATGGTTAATGTACTATAATTTCCTTACATAGGTATCTTCTCATGTAAAGTTTTAGAATTTCTATATATTTGTATGGCTATTAAGTAAAACAAGTAAATCTTTATTCCTTAAAAATGCCCATTTGTGAATTTGATCTCACCTTTGTTTATGTTAGATGAAAGAAAGAACAATTTTGAAGAATAAAAATGGGTTGAAGTTAAATGATGTGTAACCCTTTCGGAGCCTGGTAAAATGTTTTAGAAATAGACTTAACAGGTGATGAGAAGCTATTCTATTGACCGGATGATCCATGCCCATACCGCAGGATCAACTCAGCCTACATGGTTCAAAGAAGCCAGATAATGATTTTCCCCATACTGCAAACTTGGCCATGAAGAATGCATATTCATAAGGAAAGAGAAGATTGGCATCTCTATATTTCCACCTGTGTCTTTTGCTAAAATTAACCAAAATCTCAAGATTTCAGAAATACCAAAAGAGAAGGAAAAAAAAAGGAAAAAACCCTGAAAATTGTTGGACAAAGATTACAAGCAACCACTTCCAAATTTGTCCTACCAAGACATTGGTCCTCTGTGGGTTTTAATGTTCTCAGATCTAAGATTTTACACTGATGTTCATTGGAATGAAATGCTGTGTTAATTATTATTTAATTAAATCAATTCATTAAGTGTATTCATCCATTCATTAAAATTAATTTTAATTCTTAGTTTATGCTATATTGTATGCATTCCTACAAGGTGTCATACATTTACGGAGCACACCGCTTCAGATCCAGCCTCTCTCCGGTGCTACTGTCCCTGACTCCAGTGGGCACCACGGAAGACCATCCTTGCAGTCAGGAGCAGGACTGTCTCTGGTGATGCTTGCTTCTCCTCTCCCTTTTTGCCTTATGCTTACAGCCATACTTGAGAGGGTCCCCACTCATAAGAGACTCCTCAGTCGGCTAGTTGTTCCCTGATATCTGGTTCCAGAATATCACAGCATAATTTAGTTTGGGGATGGCTTACCAGTTTGTGACATAATAAGCCTCACTTACTTCATATATTTTATTGGTGATGAATCCACGGTCACGGAGAATTTCCAAGAAAGGAAATGTCGTTTCTATTGCATCTGAAATCTCCACTTTATATTTTTTGAAGTGCTTGAGGGCAATCTCACAGACAAGTGTTCTGTCTATATTCTGGTTTACTGCAGACATCCTAAGGACAACAGGTACAATGATAACATGGTCACCAATAATTTGAGATTCTTGTGGAGGCTGTAATATTTTACATATGAAGAATAGGCTGTGAAGAACCAACATATATAAAATAAGTTTTTCTGAGTAAACAAGAATAAACAGAATTGAAGCAATATACAAAGATATTATAGAAGGAAGCATGGAGGATAGGAAAGGCATACATAGGACAGAAAAAGTCCAGTCTGTCCCCGTCAAAACCACTGTAAATATATCTTCTCCTAAACATATCTGGAATATTTTTTATTAAAAATTTCTAGTCAACATAGTATTGTAAGTCCTAGCCACAGCAATCAGACAAGACAAATGAATAAGAGGCATCCAAGTTGGAAAGGAAGAAGTAAAACTCTTATTGTTTGCAGATGACATGATACTATATATCTAAAACCCTAAAATCTTCACCAAGAAAACCCATTCAAAATAATAAATGACTTTAGTAAAGTTGCAGGACATAGACACTATATACAGAAATTTGTTGCATTTCTATACACCACCAACAAATGATCAGAAGAAGAAAGAAAATAGTCCCATTTACAATTGCATCAAAAAGTATAATACACCTAGGAATAAATTTAACCAAAGAGGCGAAAGCTCTGTCCTCTGAAAACTATAAGACATTGAAGAAAGAAACTGAAGATACAAATAAATAAAAGAATATATCTTGATCACGGATTGGAAGAATTAATATTGTAAAATGTCCTTATTACCTAAAATAATATACAGATTCAATGCAATCCCTATTAAAATAATTCTCTCAGAATTACAGCAACTAATCTTAAAATTTATATGGAACCACAAAAGACTCCAAATAGCCAAAGAAATTCTGAGAAACAACAAAGTGGGAAGTATTATGCTCCCTGATATCAAACTATGCTTTAAAGTAGCATGGTACGGTCAAAAAGTAGGTATATAGGTCAGTGGAATAGAATAGAGAGTCCAGAAATAAATCCCAGCTTTTATGGCCAATTAACCTAAGACAAAGGAGACAAAGATATACAATGGGGGTAAAGACAGTTTCTTTAATATGTAGTATTGGCAAAACTGGACAGATATATGCAAAAAAAGTTGAAATTGGACTACTTTCTCACACAATATACAAAAATAAACTCAAAATGGAATAAAGAGTTAAATATTACACCTGAAACTATAAAACTTCTAAAAGAAAACATAGGAAGTAAACTCTTTGACATCACTCTTAGTAATGTCTTTTTGTATATATCTCTTTAGGAAGAGAAAACAAAAAAAATAAACAAACGGCACCACATCAAACGAAAACGTTTTTGCACAGCAAAGGAAATCATCAACAAAGTGAAAGACGACCTACTGAATGGGAGAAGATATTCATAAATGATATATCTGATAAAGGGTTAATATCCAAAATATATACAGAACTCATACAACTTAAAACCAAAAAAGTCCCAAATGATCCAACTGGAAAATAGGCAGAGAATTTGAATAGACATTTCTCCCAAGAGGACATACAGAGGGGCAACAGACATATGAAAAGACACTGAACATCACTAATCAACAGAGAAATGCAAATTAAAATCACAATGAGATATTACCTCACACTTATCAGAATGGCTATCATCAATAAATCAACAAATAACAGGTACTGGTGAGGATGTGAGGATGTGGAGAAAAGGAACCATTGTACATTGTTGATGGGATTATAAATTAATGCAGCAATTATGAAAAACAGTATGGAGTTTCCTCAAAAACTTAAAAATAGAGCTGCCATCTGATTTAGCAATTCCACGACATCTGGGCATTTATCTGAAGAAAACAAAAACACTAATGCAAAAAGATATAGGCACCGCTATATCCATTGCAGCATTACTAATAATAGCCAAGATATGAAAGCAACCTAGATGACCATCAATAGATGAATGGATAAAGAGGATGTGATACAGACACACACAATGGAATATTATTCAGCAATAAAAAAGAATGAAATCTTGACATTAGAGAAGACATGGGTGGACCCTAAGGGTATTATGTTAAGTGAAATCAGTCAGACAGAGAAAGATTAATATCATATGAGTATATTTACATGCGGAATTTAAAAACAGCAACAACAAAATAAATGAATAAACAAAACAAAAGAGAAACAGACCAGTAGATATGGAGAAAAAACTGATGGTTGTCAAAGGAGACGGGGCAGGAGATGGAAATTTAAAAAAAGAAAAAAATTTTAATTTGTACAAAAGTGAGATGGAGTAAACAGGTCATCCACAGAAGAATGAAATATAATGGAATAACAATAGAATCTAACCTTAAAAATGCATCTTAACAATTAAGAGAAAATAAATCTCAGAATGAGATACAGCCATTCCTAAATTTTAAATCTAGTTAATAAATAATAAGATGTAGTTTGATAATAATATGATAAGGCATAAATTGAAATTTCACAAGAATATAAATAATTTGTCCTGGGATGTCTGCTTTGTGTTCATATAAATCTGTCTATTATTGTATGTGGTAAATCTTTTTAGGCATCTGACTTTCAGAAATGGCTGCTGTTTCCATGATACTAATTGTAAACCTGAGTCTGGTTTACAATACTAATTGTAAACCTAATTCTGGTTCTTAGATGATTTGTTTTATTTCTTTGACAGTAATGTTTAATCCCCATGATGTATTTCTAAATGTTATGAAGAATCATAAGCTTCCTTTGTGAAATTAGAAAGGAATTGTTGGCACTTCCTAGTACCTGATTTGCATCAGAGAATAATAGTGTCACATTATTGTAACAAATTCTGTAAAAAATGGGTTTCTGGTTAATGATAGCAGATTGAAGAGAAACATTTGTTCTTTCCATTAAAAACTCCATTAAAGCAAATTGGGTTCACAATGACAAAGAGAATGGCATTGGGCAAATGAGAGATTTCAACCAAAATCTATAGGACAAAAAAGTGGTCAGAAGAGCATTCATTGCTATTGTAGAAGAAAGTTGCTCCCAGTGGTCAGGAAAGCAACCAGTGTGCCCTGTGGAATCTTGAGATGATGGAGATTGAATGGGAGGCATGGTGCTGAAAACTGGTGTGTTATCTGAAAAATGAAGAACAGGGTGTGTCCCCTCAACTTGCATCCTGACCACCTGGAGCCAGGCAGCCTCTCAGTGGCAAACGCTGCTGTCTTCTTATCAACATATGTTAGTGCTGCCTGTTACTGGATTTCATATATGGAATAATACATCATATATGCTTTTGTAGGACTTCTTTTGCTCATCATCCATATTGTTGGACGAATAGAAGTTTGTTATTGTTGAGTGGTATTCCATTGTGTGTACTTATCACAATCTGTTTAATTGTTTTCCTGTTGATGGATAATTGGTTTACTTCCAGATTAGGACTAGTATGAGTAAAGCTGCTGTTCTCATATAAACCTTTTTGTAACATAATGTTTTCATTCCTCTTGGGTAAATAACTAGGAGTGGAATTGCTGGGTCATTGTGTAGGAAGTATGTTTAACTGTTTTAGAACCTTCCAAATTGTGTCAAAGTCTATTTGAAATAGGTTTTCTAATTTAGCCATTCTAGTGTGTGATGTGATATCTCATGCAGTTTTAGTTTCTGTTCTTTAATGACTAATGATGTTGATCATAATTTCATATGCTTATTGAAAATTGACATACTTCTTTTATGAAGTGTTTGTTCAAGTTGTTGGCCCATTTATATTATTGGGTTGTCTTCTATTTATTGATGTGTAGGGGTTTGTTTTCTATTATAGATAGAAGTATTTTGTTTGATATATGTCTTATGAACATTTTTTCTCAGTTTGGGGTTTGCCTTTCATTTTGACTGTGTCTTTTGATGTGGAGAAATTTTTAAATTTTGATGAAGTCCAATCTATCCATTCTTTTTCTTTTGTGTTTTTTTTAACTTTAGTGTACTAAGAAATATTTCCTACCTCAAATTTATGAAAATGTTAAAAAACTAATGGGTCTAATTCTGGATTTTCTCTTCTGTACTATTGATCTACTTATATATCCTTATGTCAATAGCATATTGGCTTAACAACCAACTGTAGCTTATAGAGGTCTTGAATTCAACTAGAGAAAGATTGTCATGACTTTTCTAGGTCTTTTGGTTTTTCACATGTCTTTAGAATCAATTTGTCAATTTTGACAAGAAAAGTATTTTGGGTATTTATTGGGTTTCCATTTAACCTATAGATAAATTTGCAGAGAATTGATATCTTAACAATATTGAGCCTGAATCATTCTCCACTTTTGTAGTTTTCCTTAATTTTAGCTGACAGTGTACATAGTTTTCAGTATAGATGTCATGCACATCTTTCACCAAATGTGTTCCTTTGTTATTATATATTTTTTGATGCTACCTTAAATGGTATTAATTTTTAACTCTTTATTGCTATTGTATAGAAATAGCACTGGTTTTAAAAAGATTAACCATGTATTCATAATCTTTATAAATTTACCTGTAAGTCCCAGTAAAGCATTACAAATTTCCTTTGGATTTTATAGAAAACAACCTTATCATTGGCAAAATAAAACAAATTTCCCCCAAATTATTTCTTTTTCTTATATTATTGCAGTGGTTAAGATTTTAAATACAATGTCAAAAAGAAGTGGTGAGAGCAGACTTCCTTTCCTTGTTTCCAATCTTAGAGAAAAAGCTTTCAGTATCACCATAAAGTGCAAGGGTTCTTTTACATTATATATATATTTTTTAATGATATCAAGGAAGTTTCTGCCTATTGTTAGTTTGTTGCAAGTTTTACCATAAATAGATGCTGAATTTTATCAAATGTTTCCACTGAGATATTTATGTAATTTTCCTTCCTTATTCTTTAATAGTAAGTTTTATTGGTTAATTTCTGCAGCCTCTTCTTAAGTAGGAACAGATAACCACAAGTCCACAGACATTTGAAAAAATTCTCCAATATCAGAGTAAAAAAAAAAATAACATTAAAGAAAGAGAAAAATTACTTTATGAGA